CCCCGAATCCATTTCGTTTTGATCGCAGTTACATTTTGGAACGCACAACAAATGCAAGACGTACACATGCACAATTTAGCGGATACGTTTACAAAGAATGTCTTTTTGAAAATCAAGTGAAAATAGATTCTTTATTTGTGAAACGTTTACCGTATCCACAGAGAAATTATTGCACAATATCGCATTCCAATGAAACATTCCATTTTACCATTTGTGTGCGCATAAATTTAAAGGTAAGCAAAGTATAAGACAATTTTCGTCTTTATTTTCTTGACAAAATCCAACACCCATTTTTGTATGCAATAAATGTGTGCTTAAAGCCCGAAAGTGAACCGAAAACCAACTCGAATGATACAATGGAATCTCTGTTAATCAATGCTCTTCAACTATTCTTACCAACTTGAATAATATTCAGATTGAATATTTTAGTGAATTGCGATATGTGACTGTGTGATATGGAGACACAGAGAGAGAGAGAGAGAGAGAGAGAGAGAGAGAGAGCAAGATACGGATGCTGTGCAAGCGAAATGTGCATCATCATTGCTACTATTAATCTCATTCCTTGGAATGCAAGGAGAAAGAGTACGTCTATTCGATTGACGAATCTCGGTTCGATGCGATAATCTTTTTCACTCGGTCTTGGTCTTGCTCCATCTTGCTCTCTGCGAGTATGCTCCTCTTGCATATCTGATGGCATTGTGCAAATGTGTAGCTTCATTTGACGTGTGCTTCAAATACCATGAATTCTCAACTGTTTGATATGAATTCGTTGTCGTATGAGGTTATTTAATGCTTCTCAAAGTACTTGTGCCAAACCAAACACTAATGCCGTTGTAAACGAAATCATAAAATATCCGGGATACGAAAAACGAAGCTTGTGTGAAACGGTGCCGTTCTGGTGACAAAAGCACGAAAATCGATTTTATACTAAAAACGTGATGTGTGTGTGTGTTTTTTAGAGAAAGAACTTGTGTGTGTGTGTATTTTGTGTACGCATTTATGTTACCGAGTTTAGATTTTCAAGTGTTCCAACTAAAATGATACTGCTTGCACATAAAAACCGAGATTCAATTGCACATAATATCAACATAAAACCTGAGCACAAATAAAGCACTTGATGAAGGCTTCAATCTTAAGTTTGTAAACAATTTAAATTAAAAACTTACACACACAAAAACCAGTTTCAACATACACACTCTCATTCGCACACAACAATGGATCGACATGGATAAACTTGCCACTTTACTAATACACATCAATAAATCTCGGAATCGATTTCAAAGGCGAGTGCGAATTGCATTTCACACTTTGACTACAGCATTTTTGGTTTATTAGTGTGAACAAACGTGGAAATGAACAAACCACCACTGCCACTGTCGTTATCATTCGTTCATAGATTTGAAAAAAAAAGGATCCATTTTTACATGAAGTTTTTGTATCTATTCTCGATAAAAACTGGAGGATGATGTATGGACACGCACGTAGAAAAAGTATAATAATTTTTGCGTGTAACTTACCTTAAATCGAAAGGTTGAGCCAAGTGCGAAATGTGTATACTTTTGGCGCTTTGAAAGTGCCGAAAAAAGTAATGGCAAACGAAACAATGATATGTATGTAAAAAAAATAAAGCCCACTACGTGATCATAATGCCAATGTATGTGTTGTTTTCCATTCGCATTGATGTGTATTAAATGCAATATATTGTATTTGAAAAGAAAAAAGCCGTTCCAGGTTAGTGATAATAACAAACGATGTTCTCAGCGCTTCGATTTCGCATAACTACGATCTGAATTCAATTGCTTTCATTTTCGCTATAACATATGTACGTGTTTGGTGTTCTCATTCATAACTCATGTGTACCGTCTTCATTGGCGATAACATCAACTAAAAAATCATATTTGTAAGATAGATGCACGAAAGGCAACATATTTTAGTTCTTTCATGCATCTGCACACTGATAGACTATTCAAGAAAGATTTTTTTTCACTGTTCGATTATGTATGGTCCCCGGAAAATGTTACCGTATGCCCGAAAAATTGTGCAAAGAAAGCGAAATATTTGTGAAAGGGAATGGAAAAAAAAGAAGAAGCAACAGCAGTAGCGGCTCGACACTGTGAACCAAATCATTTGGGGTCATAAAGCTTGTATTCAGCAATATTTACAACGTGTTATGAATATAACTGGCGCTGTTACTTTAACCTTCTTTATTACCCGAACGCGTTACATTTGCTTGCCGTTTCTGATAAAAATATCATGTGCATGCGTGTAGTTCGTTGGGTCGTTTCTAATGCCATGATTCAGATGCTGGTATCGTTCGGTATTTGTTTCGTGTAATCATCATCATTTTTGTTGTTGTTGATATCATTTTTCTCGTTTCATATATCTTGAATGACAATCACAAAAATATTTCGTCAGGCTCGTTATACATTTTTTGTTCGTTCTCTCCTCTCTTTTTTTATGTTGTCGGTTGGATTTAAGCATGTTTTGCAATTTATTAAAAATAGCATAAGCCAGTCGAAAAGTTTTTGGAAAAAGCTTTCGGAGGGATTATGTATGAAGTTGATAAATCGGTAAATTCCAGCTAGAATTAAATTAATTAAGTTCATGGAATGTGAGATTGAGAGAGTTGAAGGGGGATAGATGAAGAGTTGAGAGTTTGGTTTCGGTTCAAAAAAAGAAGAATATATTTTATGTACACTTTTGATCTTTTTAGTCCGATATATACATCAGTTTTCGTTAGTCTGATAAATTTTAAATTGTTGTGGTACTGCTGACCCTGATTTTATGCAAAAGTCCCATCATTTTGTAAATGTAAATGAGTGTGTATGAGATAGAATGAGCTGAAGCTCACACGAACAACTGGTGCATATTTAATTTGAGTCATTTTTTTTTATACTGCAATGGCAACCAAGGCACACTCAATAAATTTATACGGCAAGCTGTGAGCATATGTGTCGTCCGAATTGAAATTGAATGACAAAGTGTCTTCATCAAAAACATCCTCTTCTCGTTTTCGGTATGTCAACCGAATTACATGTGTGATCTTGATGAATATATGAATTATGTTTGTACCAGTTGACATAATCATAAGCGCAAACATCACAAAACGGAAATATATGTGTTTCGGTAATATTTTCTGCTTGGAATTCTGTGGCAAAGAAAGCGATACAGGAACAGAGGAGCACGAAGTAAACGATGGATAAAACTCGAATATTAGTTTAGAGTTTTACTTATACGGTGAAATTGTTGAATTTTACCAAGAAGCCAGAGATAAAATGGTTTGATTGTATTTCTGTTGGCAAATTTACTGCAATAATTCTGCTCATTCGACCTTGAATTTAATACATCGTATGATTTAGTCTCGGTAAACTACCAGCATCACTCCCCCTTTCGCTCTCTTGCTATCTCCAGCTTTCTCTTTATATATTTTCGGGCTTTTGTTTGCGTACAAAATATCGCTGGAATAACAATGCTTATGAATGAAATAAAATGAACAGCAGATGGTATTTCGGATTGTGAACAACAAAATCATATGCTTAAATTATGAATAATTTTATCATCGACGACATTTTTGCTCTCTCTCTGTGTGTGTGTTCCTGTGTGCAAATGCCAGCGTGAGCTATGATGCATGCACTGTATATTGATATCAACAAGCGATGCGCATTTTCACTTCGCATTGCCCAAGATAAATGGTTTAAGAAGAAATATTACCTCTATTTTATTGTCAATTTAAAGTGTCTCAATTTAAATGGTATGCGCATACGAACATACCTTTCATTCAAAACGATATCAAAACCATCAACTTATAATCTATCATGTCCATCAACTTATAATCTATCAGGTACGTAGCCACGCTTCACCTACACCTAAACTATTAAAATAAAAAAAAAATCATAAACACTCTCATTTTGACTGATTAGTTCGTCTCCTTTGGCTAACAGTCAACTGAAAGTGATAAAATCACTCAAATCTCAACGCAGAAGACGATTCGCTTCGGTGAATAGATGAAAATGTTCGTCTTTCACTGAATGTGACTGTCTTTAGAATTCGTTATGTTCGTGAGCATGCTAGAGATAATGGAAAGAAAGAATAGAAGGGTATTTGTATTTGAACGAATGTGGTAATGTATGAGTCGTTAGCATACATGTTTGTTGAAGATTTTATGTGATATCGTCTCGAGGGTGTGATAAATTTTTACAATATTAATATTCGTAATGGTCCAAAAACTAAATTATAACATCCGAATGTATTGTTCCAATGGGAAAAAAGCCAACTAGCTTTGGCTTTCGTTGTCTTCGTTTTCGTTGTTCTTTTTTTTTTCGTTTGGTTGCATACGATACTATTCGCAGTGGTCTCGTTTGCTTCCATTGAATTGAATTAAATGGCAAAAGTGTGTATGTGTGGGCCAAAATAAATTACAAATACTATATAATATATGCCACACATTTGCTCAGCCAAAATGGTTACTTTCATACACTTGATATTTGAAAGCATAGTTACTTAAAACCCTGTCATGCATTTATCATCGAAACTGAAAGTCAAAATGAAGTAAATGTTAAGTTCCAGTTTCCGATGTGTGTCAGGCGGGGCGCGTACTTTAGTTTGATCGTCGTCATCGTCGCAACATTCAGATTTGCTATGGTCTCTGTTTCACACATACATTTAACATTTTATTATAGCCAAAGTGTGCAATAAATAAATGGCACACTAAATTAGGAAATTCCTCATTGCAATTCTCGTCCAACCATATTTTTTTTTTATTCCACTTCCCTTTTCGTTTACGGGTAAAAACTTTGCCAAATTGCCCAACATCACACCACCATTATTCACATACGACCTATTAAACAACACTCCATTAAACAATTTAAATGTAATAAAATCTAAAACCAAACATAAAACGCTTAAAAAATATCATAATAACAACAACTAAAAATGAGTGATATAAATATTCAACAAATAAAATCAACTTTATGTGTATATTCTCCACAACTTTGTTGCAGATGGAAATTTTTCTGAATTTCCATATATACAGTATTTAACACGTAAGTTTGGGTTTTTTTTTAGAAGGAAAAAAACCCATAAAATTCGATGGGAATTTAAAAAAAATTATATTTATATAAAAAATAACATTCGTTTTAAATCAACACAATTCACAGGACCATTTCAATTTGTAATTCAATTAGCGACGAAAACAAACAGAAAATCAATAACAATTGCATTAAATGGCATGAAAAATGCATCGTTCATTATTTAAATTTGGATCATTTCAGTGGGAATTTATATGAAAATCAATTTGAATAATGATGATTTTAAAATTGAATTTTATCACATTTCCATTTAATATGACATTCAATTCGCCTTTTTTAACGGGTAAAAACTCTTTTCAAATCCAATCGATTGAGCTGAACCATTAAAAATTTATGTTAATGGAGATTATTGCAATTGTTATTGAATATATTTTTCTTGTTATGTTTTCGAAATTTTACGATGATGAATCACATTCAGTTATGTTTACATAACTCGAGGTGATAATGGTATACCGTTAAAATCAATTTCGAATAAATATGCTTCTTTTATTAATACGATTATTATTTTCTTTTGTGTATACTTGTAGATCCCCCTGAAATAACGAAACGACCGATTAATCAATCTGTACGAGTTGGAGGCGTTGCTAGTTTTTTCTGTGCAGCCCGTGGTGATCCGATTCCTTCGATAGTATGGCGTAAAAATAGCAAGAAAGTTTCCGGCACACAAAGTCGATATTCGGTAACACAGATGAACGGACAATCAATACTACGAATTGAACCAGTACGAGCCGGTCGTGATGATGCTCCGTATGAGTGTGTCGCTGAGAATGGTGTAGGTGATGCCGTTTCAGCCGAAGCAGCACTCACCGTCTTTGAAGGTAAGTGATTAGAGACACTATATCAAATCATCGCCACATTTTCTACCAAAAACTCAATCTGACTTTTGGCTGTGACATGTACAACCACATTGAAAATTCGTTTGATCTATCTATGTATAGTAACATATTATCTATCCATTTTATCAAAGGAGCGAGTACGACGTTTCCCCCTTTGCTAAGCGAAATAAATCCGATATACGGCGCTGATTTAAATGTCACTCTATGTCATTCCACAATGATACATTTTTTGGCTTGACAATATATAAGCTCTTCATTCAACATGCATAATTTTTGAACGGTCGAGTAAAAAAAAGAAACATATCATAAAATATTCTTTTTACACTTATCATAAAAATTCTCTATATTTTAAATATATTTGTTTAAAAATAACAATAATTTCAATTTTTTTCATAGATTGAACAAGAATCTAATGTAAAAAGTAATACCAATGCGACACCTACCGTTAAAATAGAAAAGGAAACTTATTTGGAATTGTAACATTTTGGTCCGCCATAACAGCATCTTCGTTTTGCTTCTCTGTGATTGGTCAAGTAAAACGAAGATGCTGTCATGGTGGACAAAAATGCTACAATGGAGACCAACTAAATTTCTTTTTGCATTTTTACGGTAGGTGTCGCATTGTCATTACTATTTACATTGGATTCTTATTTAATCGATGAAACATTTTTTGTTGAAATTATTGTAATTTATAAACAAATTAATTTTTTTATAAAAAAAAAATTTAATAAATTTTTTAATGAAAAATGTTAGAAAAATATTTTATGACATGTTTTTTTTTCAACGATTCAATAATTATGAATGTGTATGCATTTTAAATGAAGAGCTTATATATTGTCAAGCCAAAAAAGTATTATTGTGAAATGACAGAGTGACATTTACATCAGCGCCGTATATCGAATTAATTTCGCTTGGCATAGGGGGAAATATTTTGACAGATAGTACTCGATCCTTTTTCGAAATTCAATTAACACAACGGGGTAACGATTTTTTAAGTTTCAACAAAATCAAAATCAACAGTCATGTCGAGAGTAATACGGATTTTTCCAGGATAAAACGATGTGTAGAACATTTAAACCCTATTCAAATGGGTTTAATACAATCGTTCACGCTTTATTTAATTCTCGTTTTCGGTTGATTCTGGTCGTTGCATTTTGTGTCCACTGATTTCACTCTCTTTCTACTTTGTATTGTGAGTTTTAATTTCGAAATGTTTTTTTTTTCTCGCTATGAATGTTTTTCGTTAGCAGTACGACAGAGTGAGAGAGAAAAGTGAAGGGCGGTGTAAGAAAATGCATTGAAAACGGATCTACATGTTGGAAAACTTCACATCCATTACCACAAACATAGCACTCTTTGAATGTTTTTCACCATCGTCTAACGTTCAATACGGCCGCTGCCACCATCGTCATCGGTGTCGTGTATATATTCAAATTTTGATTGTACTAAACAACGATTTTAGTTTACTTTTAACATTATTTACACTAGAACTGAAATGAGTGCATGGTCTCTATGATGACTGTATGAAATAAATTTAAACCAAGAGTGAGAGCGAGTGTGTTTGTGTGTGGAAATGTTTTTGCGGTAAAGTGTTATTTCAACTTGGGACGCGCGTTTTTCCCAATGCATATTTTTTTACGTAAGTTGCTTAGCGTTTTCATTTTCTATTTTCAAAGCACGAAAAACGTTTTGAAAATGAGGTCTCTCTTTCTCTTACTTACTCGTTCACTCACTATTCATTGCTCTTTGTCGCACCCTCCGTTTGAATCGGCTTGCAAGAATGACTGCTTTAAAACCACAACACGAACGAACGAACGAGTTAGTTGCACGGCAAGTGGCATCAAACATAATAAAAACAGATTGTTTTTCATGATAATGGGCTTCACGCAGTCAGTTTAGTGTTTTTTCTTCTCTCGTTTTGCCCGGCAAATTCTGATACGCGTTCGGAGCTTATTTCGAATATTGCAATTTTTGCTCACGGTCGCACTCCCTCCCTCTCTCTCTCTCTCTCTCTCTCTCTCTCTCTCTCTCTCTCTCTCTCTCCTTTCTCGTTCTCCCTATCTATGTGGAAGCCAGTCCATTTTCTAAGTGAATATTCGTTTTGTCGATGTGTCGTTTGGCGTTTGTAACGCTCATTTTGTGGAATATTCAATGTGATTCGTGCGATGAGTTAAACAAAACCATCAACAATAGAAAAATATTATGTGAAGAACTTATAAACCGGGCACATCGTGCAATCAGCACAGTAGTACGGTGCGGTTTCTCTCTCTACATATGGCCATTGCAAAATGTATGTTTTGTTTAACGACGTATTAAACAATAGCAACTGTGTGTAGCACCAGGGAGTCATTACCGTGATTCTCTCGAGTGAGTGCAAAAATACACAAAACGCCACACAATCATGTGGAAATAAATGTGCTACTGCTACAGCTATTACATTACACACAACCGATTCATTTATTTTCATATGTTCCTCACCAGTCAACATAATAAAACCGAACACAATTCCTGTGCTCGACTCTTTGTATCATTCATATGTGACTTACGTGCATTGGTATAGCACTCTATCGCAGACAACGGTGATTCTCTTTCCGTATGCAAAATTTTGAAAATGTAAATGATGCAAGTCCGGATGTAATGGGTTAAAATGCTAGAAAAAAATGAAATTGCGGTTCAAACGAATTTCAGTTTAATGGCTACGACAATGTCTTTTTTTCTCAAACTGCACTGACGATGAGAGTACAAAAGAGTCTGCTCAATGTTTTTTCAATCCAAGCTCACATTTACTATGCGCCGCAAGATGTTTTCAACCACACCAATCTTAACACCATACATTTGACCGATGATTCATTCAAACACTTCTGGTCACACGCTGAGTAATTTTCTGCCACTGAACAATATTTCCAATCGAGCACAAATTAAAAAAAAAAAACACACTTCCCCATACATTTTTGCTGATAGGGGCATTTTTTACGTATGTTTGAGTCTATATCACATGCATACATTGTCTCCGTTTCGATTGGCTTTTTTTGTCGATCCGAATAAAAAAAAAGAGTGCACAAAGAGCGAAAGAGTGAAAAAACAGTGTTGGCTGCAGTTGTAACATATGACGAATTTCATAATAAAATATAATTTATGATCATTCCATAAATGTAATATCTGTTCGATGGACATTACGTTTAGTGTGCCTACGTTCAACTTGATTATATTTTTTGTCCGCATCCGGTCATTGTTTGAAAAAATGTGCCGGACCGGTCGACAGCACGAAACATCCAGCAACTTTTTGATTTTTGCATAATAAATCATTTTTTACCCACTGTCACTGTAACTGATCGCTCTCACTGTAATTGCAACAATATCGCAATTTTTTTTACCACTCCACATTTCGCTATGTCGTTTGTCACAGAATTTTGACTTTCAATGCATTTTTATCGCATTCAATGCATGCAAATTCACAAAAATTGGATCGACAGTATACTTCGCAAAATCGAAGAGGGAAATTACATTTTTAAAATAGTTAAATTCATCGAAGATGAAAAATAGAAAATACAATAAAAAAATTCAATCGAATTCTATAAATCACTTGTGACACTATATCTAACAACTTATTCTAAAGCTAAATGGACACCAAATTTAGAACGTGTGCCTATGCTAATTTATTCACAAAAATGAAATTGAATTTTTAATTGTGATTTGCCGATCGGAAAGTACTTCTTCATTCAACTTCACTGAAATTAAAATTGGAATTTTTTTCATTGTGCAAAATCGTTCTATAGAATACTTCAATTCCGAATAATGGTGAGATTAAATGTCCAATTGAAAAATGGAACTGAAACGAGCGCTTGAAAAATTGACACCGTTCAATGTTTGGTGCAAAATGACGTCATTTTTCAATTAAAGTTGAAATGGATACTTTTAAACTTGCATTGAAAATTGAGTTTTTGCAATCGATGAATCGATGTATAATTCAATGGTCTCAATTGAGTGTAAAAATAGTTGGATAATTTTTTTTAAAAGTTCAACACAGTCAACAATGAGACCTGCACTATATCAACAAAATTCATTTGATTCGTGTATGATTTATTCAATGTGCTATGTGAAATCACCTTCTGTATGACTCAAATGAACCGCGAAAATTCGCGTGAAGGACATTCGACGCGTCGGACAAACGACATGAAAAGTATATAGTAATGATAATTACTGTGTGAGAGTGACGACATTGGTAATGTTCTTCTCTATTGAAGAAGCCTTTTGTTGTCGAAAGTGACAATTGACGCTCGTTATGCCAAAGAAGTTGGAAAAAGTGAACAAAGCCTTAAGGCTTTTGAAATCGAAGCTTTTTTTCATCATTATTCATGTCCTTCTTCAACTTCTTTTCACATAATTTCGACTAGCTATTCTATTGTTCGCTGCAGAAAAGAAGAGTGTGTGAAAGAGAGAAGGCGCAAAAAAATACCGAACAACAAACGATTAAAGCACAGGCGGTCTCGATCTTATCTGTAGTGTTGGTAATGATTAATCACAATGGTGTACAACTCCTTAACACCATCTGATATGGTCGCTGTGGCTTTAATGACAATCATAAATATCCTGCAGTGGCTTTCATACGTAACTACAAAGGAATTTATAGAACACTCACACATTTTATTGTGAAGGACAACGATGAAAACCACAACGCCAAATAATGCGGGTGAAAAATATGAAAATACATCGATGAACACTACGGACACCGCTGCGCATACATGTGAAAATTATATAGTCTAACTATTCGTGTGTCCGGTCTTTGAAAATGTGATTGAATAGTGTCACCAGATGGATGTATTCAATATCGACAAAATATGTCAAAAATAAAAAAGACAAGTTCGAATGTTCCTTCATCAAAATTTATAGGATTCATATGAAAATGATATGCATAATCAATGCTTAAAATTGGCTATTCCCGAACGATAATACACTGTGGCTTTTGAGGTAAACAAACATCC